ATGAAATGTACACCACTAGTGTAGTAAACTATGAACTTGGAGTGATAATCAAAGGTCAATGTTGGGTCAATGGTGTGACAATGGGCTGAAAATGATGACTACCAGGACTGGAGAGATGGCTCAATAGTTAAGAGTTTTCGCTGCTCTGACAAGGGACCCAAGTCTGGTTCCCAGCACCTACATTAGGTGATTCACAGCCACCTATAACTCCAGCTCCTGGGAATCTGAGGCTTCTAGCCTCTGTTGGTACTTAAGTACAACACTTAAGTACACATACCCTTACACAGACACATAACCTATACATAAATATACAAAAAAATCTTGGGGCTGGAGAGATGGCTCACTGGTTAAGAGGTCCTCTTAAACTCTTGCAGAGGACCTGGGTTCCATTCCTAGCACCCACATGGCAACTCTCAACTGTCTGTAACTCAGGTTCCAGGGGGATCTAATACCCTCTTCTGGCTTCTGTGGGCATTCGTGGTACCTGGCAAGACAGAAAATGTGGCAATTCAGTATTATGAAGACATCTCTTACATCCTAAGAGACTGGAACTTTTTCTAGACCTCACAGCTGAGTTAATAATACACCCTGAGGTGACTTATTTGGGCATGGTGGCACACACCTTTAATCCTAGCACTTGAGAAGCAGAGGCAGGCAGATCTCTGAGTTTGAGGACAGCCTGGTTTAACGGAGGAAGTTCCAGGACAGTCAGGGTTACAGAGAGAACCCCTGACTCCGGGTTGGGGAGGGAGACAGAGTGAAGCCCTTTGTTAAAGACAGACATGCAGTAGGTGCAGGGGCAGATTCCCAAGCCAGTCTATAGGCAGGCACAGATTCAGACTCATGCAGCAGACAGACAGGAGATGGAAGATAGAAGGTACAGGGGTCAAGAAGTAGAGAATTTTGCCGGGCGTGGTGGTGCACGCCTTTAATCCCAGCACTTGGGAGGCAGAGGCAGGCGGATCTTTGTGAGTTCGAGGCCAGCCTGGGCTACCAAGTGAGCTC